TGGGAATCAACCTAACAAAAAACCTCTACAACGAAAAATACAGAACACTAAACAAAGAAATTAAAGAAGACATTAGAAGATAGAAAGATCCCCCTTTTTCTTGGATAAGCAGATTTAATATTATCAAAATGACCATAGTACCATAAGCACCATACAGATTTAATGCAATTCCAATCAAAATCCCAATGACATTCCTCATAGAAATAGAAAAATCAATCATGAAATTCATCTGGAAAAGTAAGAGACACAGAATAGCTAAATCAATCCTTAGCAAGAAGAGTGAAGCAGGTAGCATCACAATATCAGACCTTAAACTATACTAAAGAGCAATAGTAACAAAAACAGCATGGTATTGTCACCAAAATACACTGGTAGACCAATGGTACAGAACAGAGGACACAGAGACTAACCCATGTAATTACAATTATCTTATATTAAGCAAAGGCACCAAAACATGCATTGGAGAAAAGACAGCCTCTTCAACAATGGTGCTGAGAAAACTGGAAATCCATATGCAACAAAATGAAATTAAACCCCTATCTCTCACCATGCACAAAACTCAACTCAAAGTGGATCAAAGACCTAGGAATTAAACCAGAGACACTGCACCTATTAGAAGAAAAAGTAGGCCCAAATCTCCATCGTGTCAAATTAGGTACTGACTTCCTTAATAAGACTCCTTTAGCACAAGATAAAAATCAAGAATCAATAAATGGAATGGATTCAAACTAAAAAGCTTCTGTTCAGCAAAAGAAACAATCCATGAGGTGACTAGAGAGCTTACATTTTGGGAGCAAATTTTCACCACTCACAAATCAGACAGAGCTCTAATCTCTAGGGTATATAAAGAACTCAAAAAGATAAACACCAAAAAAAAAAAAACCCAATCAATAAATGGCCTAAGGAACTGAACAGACACTTCTCAGAAGAAGATATACAATCAATCAAAATTTCTGTATATCAGTGACAAATCTTCTGAGAAGGCAAAAAGGAAAACTACCCCATTCACAATAACCTCAAAACAAAATAAGATACTTGGTAATCAACTTAATGAAAGAGGTAAAAGATCTGTACAATGAAAACTACAGAACTCTAAAGAGAGAAATCAAAGAAGACCTTAGAAATGGAAAGATTCTGCTCTTGAATAGGCAGAATTAATATTATCAAAATGACCATACTACCAAAAGCACTACACAGATTTAATGCAATTCCAATCAAAATCCCAATGGCATTACTCATTGAAATAGTAAAAGCAAGAGTGAAATTCATCTGGAAAAATAAGACACTCAGAATAGCTAAAACAATCCTTTGCAGGAAGAGTGAAGCAGGTAGCATCACTATACCAGATTTTAAACTACACTACAGAACAACAGTTAAATAAACAACATGGTATTGGCACTGAAACAGACTGGTAGACCAATGGTACAGAATAAAGGACACAGAGACTAACCCACAAAATTAAAATTATCTTATATTTGACAAAGGTGCCAAAACCATGCACTGGAGAAAAGATAGCATCTTCAACAAATGGTGTTGGGAAAACTGGAAATCCACATGCAACAAAATGAAATTAAACCTCTATCTCTCACCATGCACAAAACTTAACTTAAAATAGATCAAGGACATAGGAATTAAACCAGAGACTCTGAGTCTAACAGAAGAAAAAGTAGGCCTTAATCTTCATCATGTGGGATTAGGCCCCAACTTCCTTAATAAGGCTCCTATAGCACAAGAATTAAAACCAAGAATCAATAAATGGGATGGAATCAAACTAAAAAGTTTCTTCTCAGCAAAAGAAACAATCTGTGAGGTGAACAGAGAGCCTGCATCCTGGGAGCAAATATTTACCCCTCACACATCAGATAGAAATCTCTAGGGTATATAAAGAACTCAAAAAGTTAAACATTGAAAAAACAAATAATCCAATCAATAAATGGGCCAAGGACCTGAACAGACATTTCTCAGAAGATAATATACAATCAATCAACAAATATATGAAAAAATGCTCATTATCTCTAGCAACAGAGAAATGCAAATCAAAAGTACTCTAAGATGTCATCTCACTCCAGTCAGAATGGCAGGTATTATGAAGACAAACAACAATAAGTGTTGGAGAAGATGTGTGGGGAAAAAGGTACACTCATATAGCTGGTGGGACTGCAAATTGGTGCAGCCAATATGGAAAGCAGTGTGGAGATTCCTTGTAAATCTGGGAATGAACCACCATTTGACCCAGCTATCCCTCTCCTCAGACTATACCCAAAGGACTTAAAAACAGGATACTACAGGGACACAGCCACATTATATTTATAGCAGCACAATTCACAATAGCTAAACTGTGGAGTCAACCTAGATGCCCTTCAGTGGATGAATGGATAAAAGAAAAGTTGCCTATATACACAATGGAATTTTACTCAGCAATAAAAGAGAATAAAATCATGGCATTTGCAGGTAAATGGATGGCACTGGAGAAGATAATTCTAAGTGAAGTTAGCCAATCCCAAAAAAACAAATGCTGAATGTTTTCTCTGATATGAGGTGACTGACTCATAATGGGGTATGGAGGGGGAGGATGCGAGGATTAGATGAATTCTAGATAGGGAAGAGGGGTGGGAGGCAAAGGGAGGGGGCAGGGGATTAGCAAGGATGGTGGAATGTGATGGACATCATTATCCAAAGTTCATGTATGAAGACTCAAATTGGGTGTCTACATACTTTATATACAAACAGCAATATGAAAAATGGTGGTATAGATGTATAAAAGGAATTGTAATGCAAAAAACCCCAAAGTACATGTATAAAAGCATGAATTGGTGTGAAAATACTTTATATACAAAGATATGAAAAATTGTACTCTATAAGTTTAATAAGAATTGTAATGCATTCTGCTGTCATGTATTTAAAAAATAAAATCAATAAAAAAATCAACAAGTATATGAAAGAAATGTTCAACATCTCTAGCAATTAGAGAAATACAAACCAAAATACTCTAAGATGTCATCTCACTCCAGTCAGAATGGCAGGTATTATGAAGACAAACAACAATAAGTGTTGGAGAAGATGTGTGGGGAAAAAGGTACACTCATATAGCTGGTGGGACTGCAAATTGGTGCAGCCAATATGGAAAGCAGTATGGAGATTCCTTGTAAATCTGGGAATGAACCACCATTTGACCCAGCTATCCCTCTCCTCAGTCTATACCCAAAGGACTTAAAACAGCATACTACAGGGACACAGCCACATCAATGTTTATAGAAGCACAATTCACAACACCTAAACTGTGGAGCCAACCTAGATGCCCTTCAGTAGATGAATGGATAAAAATATGTGGTATATATACACAATATAATACTATTCAGCATTAAAAGATAATAAAATCATGGCATTTGCAGGTAAATGAATGGAGCTGAAGAATATAATACTAGGTGAAGTTAGCCAATCCCTAAAAACCAAATGCCAAATGTTTTCTCTGATAAACAAATTATACAGTCACCTAAGTCTACTGGTTAAGAGGTTATGTTCTGAAGTTTGTTGGCCTTGTTTGAATTGCAGTGAAGCCATGTACTAGGTGTGTAAATTGAGGCCAACTATTTTGCCTGAATAAGTCTCAATTTTCTTATCAATAAAGCGGAATAACACTTACCTCATAGAATCATTATGAGAATTATAGGGATCCATGATTGTATGAATTACATGAATCAATTTGCATAGAGCATAGTAAATGGTGCACTCAACAAAATTTAGCTTTTACCAACATTAAATTAAATATTTGATATGAACAACATTGACATAATTATGGAAACCACTTTATGAACTTGAGATATCAAAATGTACCTGTAAATCCTGAACATTTAGCCATGAAGCAGTGTAAGGAAGGCCAGTAAGCAAATCATTAGTACGTCAAGAAATATCCATTCTAAAACTAAATTATAATCCCAAAGCTAAAGGAATAGTGGTTTGGTTTTCAGCTACCCCCAATAACTTTAATTTGTTCCATTCCAAGCTCCCTGGGAACCTTCCTGAAAAGCTAAAGGTGATGCTAACAGGAAGAAAGGGAGCATCCTTCAAGTTTACAATCTCTTTGGGGCCCTTCTCAGCCTCTTAGGTCAACCTGGATTCACAGGTAGAACTTCTGAGATGATTCTGCATTCAAACACAAGCCACTGATTTGCTGTATTTTGGATTCAAATCGTGGAATAACCTCAACATTCAGAGAATATCCTTTATGTGGTGTGGCATGACCACAGATCAATACTTTCATCTACAACTGTAGTTAATCGGCTACCTATCCTATAATGTATCAAAACATTTGTCTCCCAGGTAGAGATAATCTGGTAAATCAGACTCAATAAACCACATCATGAAGCTTGAAGAAACCAATGGCTAGTTAGTATCCATGCTGAACAACATCAAATTTCTTTGCTTCTTTTTCTTTATTTGTTAAATAAAAGTGTTTAAATCCATTGGAGAAAAAAAATCAAGCCATTGAGTCTAACATGGTCTGGCTCTGGACCTCTTGAAAAGATTCTGTCTACTGAAGAAAGATAACTCATTTCCTTCTTACTTTTAAAAACTTCCAAAGGAAAAAAAATTCTACTTTCACAGTATCTTATAATAACATGCCTGACTGTCAGCAAGTTTTGTGCCTCCACCGCTCCACCCTGGCTTCCTCTTCTCATCATGCAAATTGCCATTGGCTTTAATTAGATTTAATAAGCCACTGGGAAGTGCAGCAGGGAAATGGAGAGCAAAGATTACACAGTGTGGGCTTACTCTTGCATGTCCAGCACAGCATTTCTCTGGAACTCTCATATCCTCCCAGGCTGGGAAAATAATGAATGCCAAGCGTATGGAAAGACACGCTGTTGCTGCTGCTGCTGTCCAAATGTGAAACGTGGGTGGAGAGAAATCATTAAAAAAAAAAAAAAAAAGTAAGGGAAAAGGGAAAAGGAACCCGAATCCCCAACAGCTGCAAATAACGAAACATGTGAATCTGTTACCTCGGATGAACTCTGATTTCCTGCTCACAGATGGCAGGGTCCTGTTGAGCCCCAAGATCCTATCCAGGTGGAAGGCAAACACCTCACTCAAGTCCAATGGCTGCTTGAGCAAGCCACAGGGGCTAGGGCCACATCGAGGCAGTGAGCCAGCTGTGCTCCCTTCCAGCACCAGCAGGCGGGCACCACTCCTTGAGGACACAGGCTGGACTCCCGCCACCGCACCATCTGCCAACAGGCGCATTCTGTGGATGTCTTCTCTGCTCAGCCACGAGGGGGCGCTCTCGCTGTAGATCCTGATGTTGCTCTCTCTGGCCTTGGGCAACTGGAAGTCTAAGACCCCAGCTCGGACTCCAGGGCCCCGCACCAGCCTCCAGGATGGTTCTCCAATCTTGGCCAGGTTTCCTCCCTGAGCATACCCAAGCACTTCAGCATCAGCTGCCCTTGCAGCGTCCTGTGTCTGAAAGGATGGTCCAACCAATGCTTCCTGACCAGGGATACCAGATGCAACTGCATATTTCTTCCTGCGCTTGGGTTTCACAGTGCCACGGATATTGGCAGGCTTGCTGCGCTTGGAGCGTAGGGTAATGTACACCACGTTAGGCTGCAAGGTGGTCCCATTGCCCTGGGACTCAGGAGGAGCCAGGGTGCCATCCAGGGGGATCTCAGGAAAGGATGCCTCTGCAGAGTCGCGGCTGCGAGGTGGCCTCTTGTCGGCTGCTTGTCCGTGCTGGATTGAGGCCCGCCCCACCTGGCTAACCAGAAAGCCCAGGTAGATGGCACAGGCAGTGCCCAGCAGAAGGTTCCTCCGGGTCCTGGGACGCCGGCTGCTCCAGAGTTTACGCGCCCTCGGGACGCACAAGGAGCAGATGAACCAGTTTATGAGTTGCCCTGGCTTGTCTGGACAGGTCATTTCTCTGCTGTATCCACATGTTGAACAGAGTTTAAGGTCTGCAGTTGGCTCCTGCTGATACGATGCATGGTTTCCTGAATTCAGCTGTCGTGTCCGGTTGGTTATCTAAGTGGTCTCCAGTGGGTTGAAGTGGAAGGGAAGTCTTGGTGATAGAGCTGAGAATGTTTTTGACACTCGCCACAACAAACCTTTTAAACTTCTATCAACCTCCCCAAGGAGAAATGAGAGTTGATTCTGGGAATGAATGGAAACAGAGTTAACTGAGTCACATCTCAAACCGTTTCAGTTCCTCTACAAGAGGAAAGAAAAAAGTAACCCTTTCCTTCCATAAATTTTACCACTAAATATGTGAAGTTTAAAAAATGAAAGCAAAATAGATGTGTAGGTTTATATTCAGTTTAAAGCTGTGAAAACAAGCCACGAAAAATCCAAGTATATTTTATGACTTGTAGCTAGAGTTTTTTAATTTGATTCTGAAGCAAAGCAGTAAAATTTGACCAACCTGGGCTTTTCCTTTTTGCACAGCAGAAATAACTTAAGACAGATGGCTTTTAAAAATTTATAGCTATCCTACATTATTTTCAAAAATCATGCATTAACTAATTAGGCAGGAGCACAAAGTATTAACATTCAAACTCAGGAACATATTATCTTAATCTAATGTTATACAGATTTTTCTTCACAATGTGTTCCATTATCTTATTTTAAATGTTACTATAATATAAAGCCATAAATGTCTATACAGCACGGGAGCACTTACATTTATTCAGTCACACACAAACACACCAGACACAAATCCAACTACTTTTCATTTATTTTCTTTCCACCAAAGTCAGCTGAAAGAAAACAAAAGAATCTCTAGTACAATCTCTTCACATTATTAGAAAAGAAGAAACTCGTAAGCAATCTTACTTACACAGCTGGACTCAAGCTTGGCTCCAGGAAGAATGTAATCCCTGACTCTAATGCAAAGAACTTCTAAAGGCTGAGGCATGTAAGTAGAACATATTTCATGGTCAAGAGTGTTCCACAGTTCAAACATTTCAGCTCAGCTTTAAAACTCCCTCAAAAATCACCGATGGCAAAGCAAAATGGATACTTGTAAACTAGCTACTGACGTTTTCAGACATCCAGGGATTTGGTAAAGAAGATTTGAAAAATAAACTTTAATTTTATATTCTAAAAAAAAAATGCCGTACAGAATCAGTTTTCATTCAAACTACTTTCCGCTTATTTTTAACCTCTGGGAGCCCTCTAGTGTCCTGTTTGCAAACAGACTCAGAAATGTCAGTCTTGTGAGGTTAAAAAGTATCTGGAGTGTTTGTTTAGTTTGGTGGAGCAGCCCATACTGAATAAATACCTTGTAAAATGAAGAATGCCGTTGCCCCTCTGTCCATCCCACGTATCTGGAGAGTGGAGCACCAGGGTTCCAGGACCTAGCACTTACCTCACCATCCTGGCCATTTGCAGAATAGCACTTGTCTCCCAGTTCAGGGAAGAGAAGGTCTAGAAGATCAGAAAAGCTAAGAAAGGGTTACTATGAATGAGAGAGAAATAGAACAGTGAGATAAGAGTGCAGAGATAGGGAGAGACATTTATAGTGAGCAGTTACACGGTGCAGCAGTTCACAAAAAGCAGTCATGGGGCCTCTCTGATTGGAGGCTTTTTTAAAAAAACAGGTTAGGGATTGGCCTAGGTTGTTTGCATGTCTTGGTACAAAGGCGGGGGAACTGATGACCTTGGGCTCTCACTTTGGCTTATTCTATTTGCTTGTATGGCAAAGGGAATCAGAAGTCAAAAAGGCACAAAGGAAAACTAAAATAAAGGTTGTGACACTGAGAAGTAAAGTGAGAAAGAGATTACAGCATGGTGTAAGGTCTTAAAAGTTCTATATTTTACAATGAAAAAATAAAGAAGAAGAAGAAGAAGTGCTAGGAATTGGAATAGGTAGAGAAGGAAAGAGAAAATGTCAAAGTGGTTTAAAAAAACCCACAAATTATAACAGGACTGTTATTTCAGCTTTTTTAAACTCAGACCTTTTTCCTTTTTAAAATTTCTCCTACTGAAAAGGGAAAGAACAATTCCAATATTGACAGTAGCCTAGAAGTACCTGGAGGTTTTTACTAACTTCAAGAGAAGGCAGGTATCAGAGCCATTTTCTGTATGAGCCCAAACTTTTAAAGCACACACTTCCATAAGCACAGAATTATTTTCTAGAGAGTAAATATGAATTTCTTGAAAAGAAACCATGGTACAGCTGCTTCTCATAACTAGCTTATAATTTTCACATATTTAGAAGAAGAAATGACCTGAATCTTTTAAAATTAAAAGGGCTGGGGGTTGGGCTGGAATTGTGGCTCAGAGAGAGAGCGCTCGCCTAGCATGTGTGAGGCACTAGGTTCGATCCTCAGCACCACATAAATATAAAATAAAGACATTGTTTCCACCTATAACTAAAAAAAGGGGGGCTGGGGTTATAGCACAGTGGTGAAGCACTTACCTGGTAGGTGGGGGTCCTGGTTCCACTCCTACTGCCACAAAAGATAAAAAATAAAAAGTCTTTGGTAAAGTCCAGATGATGATAAGCAGAAGTCTCCTCCAACTATTTTTAAAGCAACTTTTTAAGTAGAGAAATGACTAGAAAGCAGGTAGATTTGTCTGAGTTGGTAAATTTGATTGAATCCCCTCAGAAATGTCTCTATTAGAAAAAAAGAAATACATTGCCTCCTCTTACAGAGGAGGCTAAAGCATATGATGATTGGAAAATGGGCTGCAGAGGAGAAAGCCCAGCTTCACGTTCTCCTTCCTCCTTCACTTGCTATAGGTGGTGCCCTGGGATATGTAATTATATGTGTCTGAGCTTTTGTCTCCATATCTTTAAGGGAAGAAGAATAATAGCACTCAGCCCATGGATTTCTCTTAATGATTAAAATAAGATAATGGCAAGGGAGTGGTCATTTGGAATAGTCAGCAAAGTGTTTATCTCCCCCACAATCCACACACCGTATCGAACTTCTCAAAGACTCTCCCTACACCAAGGTATTTTGGTAGAATTGAGAACAAGAATGGAATTTATCCAATTTTATCACTCCTCCCACTGCCCAAACCTGATCTGGAGTGTGTGTTACTGGGAATTGAACCCAAAGCCTCACAAGTGATTACCAAATGCTGTGCTACTGAGCTAAGCCCCCAGTCCCTAGTAGCTCTTTTAGTACCCTTGGATGCAATCTCAGGCAGGTTCCCTGACTTTTCTAGTTACACTTAGATTTCTTCTAGGTTCTTCAGTCATTGTTATAGGCATATACATATATGTATACCCATATTATGTTTTAGATATGAGGTGTCTCCCAAAAGCTCCTGTACTAATAGAGGAATGTTCAGAGGTGAAATTATTAGTTTAACTTTCCATAAAAATCATCTACAAAAAAAAAGGTCAAAAAGTAGACAATTAACTTAGCAAGACCCTAAGCAACTTAACACATCTGTCTCAAAATCAAAAATGAAAAGGACTAGGGATGTGGCTCAGTGGCTAAGTGCCCCTGGGTTCAATCCCCCATACAAAAATAAATAAATAAATATAATAAGACAAGGGTACAGCTCATTATACTTACCTGGGGAGTTTCTAATACATCTTAAGAGGAAGGAATGAATAGTCACAAAGAAGCAATATGAGTGAGGACTGGGGGTTGTGGTAATAGGCTATGTCTTCACATTTGCATATTTTCATATATATCTTGTCATTCAATAAAATTTAAAGATTTGGTGAATAAACCAGTATTCATATTATATTGTTTATACTCTGTGAATTGTATTCATGTTTATAAGAGGAGAAGAGAGTAAAGTCTTCTACATCTTTTATTTGCAATGGATACTCCATATTAGTTTGATTGTTTTAAAATTAAATTTTAGAGATAAAGAACGATAAAATCACTGAAAACTTTTAAAATATATGGTTGCCTAGGCCACATACTTTCCCAGAGATTCAAATTAAATTGATCTGAGTGGACCCCAGGAATTCATAGTTTTAAAAACTTACAATGTTCAGGGTGATGGTTCACTATTCTAAGAGCTAAAATAGCTTGTTCCCAAAGTGAATTAGCCTCTTTTTACAGTAAAATAATAAGTCTTAGGTTTCACTGGCAATGAAATCTGTAAATCTTTCAAGACTTCCAATTTTAAGACCCAAGTGTGGTAAAGGCTGTTTTGCCTTCAGCCTGGGAAAAGTCTTAGACTAGTAGACAGTAAGCCTTCATATTCCCCACCCACTTTATCACTTGCTGTGTGGCTCAACTTTGCCCACCTGCTGAAAGCCATTCAGAAAGTGAGAAAAATATATAAGTTCTCCAATTGTTGGAAAGCTGAGTACTAAGTTTTCCCCTGTTGTTGTGGACCATGCTTGTTATGCATATTACAAACCTGCAGATGGAAACCTGGTTCTATGCTGATCAGAAACTTCCACTGTGTCCCTGACCCTAGTTCACCACCCTACTGATCTCTAAACCCACAGCCCTTTCTAGAACAGTAATCCCAGCTTTAGCCTAATATAACCTCTGTCCTGTGTGCCATATGAAATTTGCTAATACTTCTGCTATCCATTCTAACATATGGCCTGGATAGCACCAAACTGCCCTGTCCTGCCACTGAAAAGCCCTTCTCCTAATAATCTTTTGTCATAAAGGTGTTTAAATGATACCAAGGAGTTTTCAATGCTTCAAATAATACTCCCTGATTTATGTATTTAAACTGTATGTAAAAGAATTCATATAGCATTGTTTTATTAAAATATGTGCATATTCATATGACTCATGATTGCTCACCCTAAGGACATCTTTCCTGTTGATCTATACATACATTTGCAGTAGGAGAAGCACTTTAGAAGTTCACCTATTTCAGAGCTATAAATCCATGAAGCAACACTGAGGGCCATAGCTTAATCTCTGATATGTGACCAAGAAAGCAACAAGTAGGAATGACTCCAGGGGATGAGAGCCTGCATTTGC